AAAGGTACATGCAGGGGAACAGGGAATGGACTTTAGAGCTTCCGTGATTCACTGCATATATAAAGGTTCTCTGTGGACTTGTGCTATTTCTGTAGCTTGAAAAGTTGAGACTCTCATGTTAAATCATATTTAAGCTTTTAATATTTACGACACTGAGAGACTGAGGTGAGTATAGCTAATATATAGATACCTTGACAGAAATCACAGTTAGGGACAGCTGACAGGTTCACATCCATTGGTTAACATGCAGCTTTCTTATTGAAGTTGGGAACATCAACTGCAAATCTGGAAGAGGCACAGATTACCGAGGCAGCCACAGTGTTACTAGTTCTGGAGCTACCTGTTTGAGGTGGAATTCTCGAATCCTTGTCAACAAGATATATACTGCTTGGAGAAGAGATGCTTACCAGCTGGGCCTTGATAGTCACAATTTCTGCCGGTATGTAGTCAGTTATAGAATTAAAAAAATCCCACCAAACTTTCTTGAGGCAGGGTTCTCTCTAGTCTTTTACATGGATTATTAAAGCACAGGAAATACACTACTGCTGGGAATGAAGCTCACTGACAATAGTAATTTTATTCCACCTGACCTATCTATGCTTTTCTAACATCAGACTCCACAAATGCAAATTCCACATGCCCCTAGGGCCGTCTGTATCTCTAGAAAAACCAAAAAGAGTACACTCAGGTCACAGTCTGCCACCTTTAGGTCTCCCCAAACTCCCTGCAGATCTGATAATACAAATAGCATTTCTCTTTCCTGTGCTGCAGGAATCCTGACAATGACAGCAAGCCCTGGTGCCATGTACTGAAAGGAAATCAGCTCACATGGGAGTACTGCAATGTGCCTACTTGCTGTAAGGATCCTAGCACTCCTGATTCTTGTCTTTCTTTGAGGCATTACTGTTCTGCATGTCATTTCTATTAAACTCAAGCCTCTTACAGTAAAATAAAAGCGGGGGGGAGGGGAGGGAGATTCTATTTTTTTGGAATAGAAAGAGATTCTGTGGCTCCACTCTCACAGAAGTGCCTTTTTCTCTGCCAGGAGGGAAGACTGCAGAAATGGAGGACAGAAAAGGCAGGGTTTCCTTACTGTATTTTTCAAATCAGAATACAAGTTTCCTAGGAAACAGGAATGAGTCAGATACTAAACAGTTCATGCCAGGCTGCCTCAACATGCACTGACGACTAACAGGCTCTTAACCCAAACTCAAAGCAAGAGTTCCTGAACAAAAAGCCTATTTCTGGATTTCTCATCCACAGCCACCTGTGGCTTACGGCAGCGCAGAGTACACCAGTACAGGATTAAAGGTGGCTCCTATGCAGACATTGCAGCTCACCCATGGCAAGCTGCCATCTTTGTGAAGTATCGCCGAGCTCCTGGAGAACACTTCCTCTGTGGAGGAATTCTGATCAGTTCCTGCTGGGTCTTGTCAGCTGCTCACTGTTTTGAGGAAGGGTAAGTTGAGGATTCAGTACTGCCTGGGGGAAAAAAGTATGGAAAATGGAAGCATCCAGTATAGCCTTACAGGAAGGGTAAAAGACTTGAAAAAAAGTTCTTTATATAGTTAATTGCACTGAGCATTACAGACAGGCATTTACTGGGCAAACTAGCAGCATGGCATTAAGGTACCATAGCAGAGTATCAAATAGCTGAAGAACAAAGTTGTCAATAAAGATGCAGAGCCATCTGAAACTTGAGAACAGCAAGGGGCTGGCAGAGGACCTTTGCCATGATGGCTGTAAGCAATTAGCGCAAAAACGAAGGCAAATAGGACACTTGAGGTCAAACTGCCTGGGTAAGGAAGTAGTAATAGTGTTAAAATAAGAAAAGCAGAAGCTCCAACAGCACATCTTCAGGGGAAGGGTCCAGTCCAGTTAATTTCGGAAGAAAGTAAGACTCTCTTGTTCTTCAGCTTTAGTACAAATCAGCTGAAGATTGTGCTGGGTAGGACTTCCCGAACAACACCCGAAGAAAATGAACAGAAGTTTCAAGTGAAGAACTACACTGTGCATCAGAGATTTGACTCAGAAAATTTCAACAATGATATTGGTAAGAGTTTTTCTGACCTCGTGACTGGAAAGGTCACATTTGGCTCAAGTTTGTGGTTAACAAAGTGGGGATTTTTTTCCCCCTCTTCAGCTCTGTTGCAATTGAACTCGGATGCAGAAGACTGTGCTATTGAAACAGACACTGTCCGTGCTGCCTGCCTCCCAACACCAGAACTGCAGCTGCCTGACTGGACTGAATGCGAGATCTCTGGTTATGGCAAAAACGAAGAATGTAAGTAGAAGATACATGTCTACATGTAAACAGAATATACTATGTCCAAAGTTTGGGTCCCCTGCCCTCAAAGAATTCAAGCCTTTAGCATGGTGTAATGTGCGACCCCCCAAATTATTATGTGGGCTTATGTCAGCACCACAAAATATATGCATAAGTGGGAGATACACAAAAACAAGTTTTGGTCTAAGTTATTTCATTCATCTGAGTTCTATCAGCTGCATGGGCTAGTAGAGTCTTCCCTGATACTCTCCAACAGTAGAAACACAAAAAAATGGCACAATGATTAAGGTAGGAAAAACAGAAAATTTGCAATCAGGGCTGCCATATTTCTGCTGTACTGAGTACATTTAGATATTGTCATTCTGACAGAAATACATTTCTGTCAAGATTGAATATACTATACAGTTGGAGGTAGTTGCATTATTCTCAAAGATACATTGGCTGTGCAGTGATAAGGAAACAAAAAAAAAAAGCTACAGAAGTAACAATCCCAGATATAAATTAAAAGGCTAAATGTTTTTTAAAGTGAGCTACAACGAACAGGAATAAAACCTGTCTGAAAGTATAAATATGCTGACCTACATGTAAAACAAACAAAAAAAGCCAGCTGTTATTTTACTGGCACTTTCTACTGATTTCTTTTTATTCTCTAACTTGTAAACTCTTTGAGACAGACACTGTGAAGCATCCACCATAAAAAGACCTAATTATGATTTGAACCCATAGGGGGTTTGGAACAGACCTGAAGATTTAACATATAAGTATGGCATAAAGGGTTTTCAAAGTGCTTTTAAAGCTAGTCCTCAGCATTGCTTACAGGGAGTACAGGATAAACTCTTTGAGAGGGAAAGGATGCTGCAACTGTAATTCAAAACTATACTGAAAAACAACAATCCTGCCAAATTTCATCTTTGTGCAATTGCAGCTATGCAGGAGAATAAAACCAACATCCAAAACAAACAAAAAAATCCCTACCATTCCAACATAATACAAGCGTACATTCCTATCCAGTTACTCAGTATTGTGTACGACAAGGCATCTGATTTTTGTTAGCGCAAGTATAGTACTAAAAAGTCAGGATCCTGTTTCATACAGTTAGTGATTTTCATAGGCACCTCCTGTGACTTCATTTTGATTGATGTAACTGTGCAAAGATAGCTTATCCATCCAAGAAACCCAGCAGTGTTTAATTTGGAGCCTACAAAAACCTCTTTAGCATTTAAACTTGCTAAAGCAGCAATATTCTCTCTCAACTAGATTTAAGCTATTCTCAATAGCAAAGCAGAACCCCCAAGAATTAAAAAAGACCCTTTGGCAAGGAAATAGGTTTTCCCCCCACCCCCCCCCCCCCCAGCTACTTCTTTTTACTTTCCCCTAAACTACAAAACCTGAACTGCAATTTTTAAAAAATATATATATACACATACACAGACATGTATACATATTTATACTGTAATTTTTCTTCCAGTTTCTCCATTCTATTCAGAGCACCTGAAGGAAGGCCACGTCAGACTGTTTCCAGCCAGTCGGTGCACAACACGGCATCTAGACAACCGGACAGTTACAGACAATATGTTATGTGCAGGAGACACAAGGCACCTTGATGATGCCTGCAAGGTAAGCCCAATTCTGTTCCTCTTTTCTTTTTATGTCTGTCCTTGATAGTCTGAGCTAACCAAACAAAAAGCTTCAGAAAATAGTTTAAAGAAGTTCTGCATTTGGCTACATGGAAGTTCTAGTAAACTTTTGTTGAACAGAACAGAACTGCTGACTCCTCTTTCTTTTTAATTCCCCTGCCCCTCATAGCTGGGAAAGCAGGCCACACTTAAACAAGCAAAAAAGAACAATACAAACTGAAAATCCCAAATATAGGAAATAACACAAAACTGAGCAGGAAACTCCACCTCAGCAGCATTTCCTAATATTTTCTCTTATGTGAGCATGCAAAACACTCAGCAGGAGGTTCTGTAAGAGGAAGGTGGTGCTGCTATACTGAAAAGTGGAGAAAAAGAGAATAAAGGCCAAAAGATGGTGGGGAATGAGCAGCTGTAACATAAGAAAAAAGGAGGGCATGCATTCAATCCACATCCTTTCTGTTTAAACAGCTCTTTAATAATTTTGCTTTACTGTTACAGCAGTATAAAACACCTTGGATCTTTACAGCTTGAATAAGAGCATTCCTCTTTTTCTTCTTATCAACGTCTCACCCACATTTCATAAATAAGCACCATACAAAGTTAGATGCTCTAATGTTAGTTACATTTTTTGGGGGTCTCTCCCCATGAGAGGAGCATTAAGGGAGTCTGGAACACAAAAGTGGCTTATGTGAAAGTGCTGTTACTAAGAGCTCTTTGTTTGTGAGCGTACTACATAGGGTATTTCTGTAGACATTAGTGCACCACTAAAGCCAGTGGGGGGAAAAAACAACACAAAAACAAACAAAAAAGGAGATTGTTACTAACCTGCTACTTCTCTGTAGGGTGACTCTGGAGGGCCTCTGGTCTGTATGAAGGATGATCGTATGTATCTAATTGGAATCATCAGCTGGGGAATAGGCTGTGGCCGCAAAGACATACCTGGCGTTTACACAAATGTGAATCGTTATCTTGACTGGATTCAGGACAACATGAAACCCTGAGAAAGAAAAATGAACCATCCACAGTCTTGTGGCCATGCTCTCGCAGCTTCCTTCTGTGTGTTTTAAGGATGCTGACAGGGCTTCCCGTTTGTCCAGATGCTTATGACTTTCAGTACAAGAGGAAAACAAACTGCAGTGTGTCAGAAGGGCACATTCTCAAATTACTCTCCTTTCCCTATTACAGGTTATCAGAAGCTAACACTCCTTTACCCCCGACATCCCCAAGCTTTCTACTTGCATCAAATCACATTAGTACAATCAAAAATAAATTTTGGGTCAAGAGAATAAACCAATAGAGAACATCATGCATCCCATGAGCAGCTATGTTGTTTTGGGAATGGGTGTAAACTGAAGGCAGAGAGGACAGATTTCCTGAAAACTTAATTTCCCTCCTCCTTATTTGGCTGTAAATTTGGAAGACGTTCCAGTCAGGCTTAAGCTCTGTCCTTGTACCATTTTACTTTGGTTATTCAAGCTGGTTTCAGCTTGACTCCAATAGAAAGAGCAAAGCTGCAGGCATGGGCTGCTTATTTCCATATCAATGTACTACTTGCTTTTTCAGTTTGGAACCGATTCATTAACTGAATCTGAGCTTAAACTCTCTGAGCAAATCCAGGATGGCATGCTTGTTGGGACATTCTATTCTTCCCCTTGCTTTTCCTCCTGGTAGGAACTAAATATTTATTTAAATATGGAATAGGTAAAAATCTTAACACCAGCCTTATCTGCCACAGAATCAACACATTACTTTTTGACTATTAAATTTCTGTGCATTATCATCTGATAGGAAAGCAAAAGCTCTCTCTTTAGCACAGCAGGGCAGAACAAAGGACAAATGTAATGGTAGCAGTTTTAGGTGCCTGCTGGATTTACATCCACAAGCCAAATGTTACAAGGCTGCATTTGTCCCTTAACAGAAGACAGGACAGGTATAACCAAGTCACTGTGAACTAGAGTCTCAGTAATCAAGCATTACTTGCTTGCACTGCACTTGCCATGTGATGCTAAGTGGTATCTATGCACGTCCTAAGAGTTAAGCCTCTTTGAGAGATTCTCTCTTGTCCAACTGTTTGCTAAAGTAAGAGAAAGCAGGTGTGGCTACTGTTTTACAAAAGAAAAAAAAATTTACTGGGGCTACAAAAGGAGTTTTAACTTTAGTATCAATCAGGCATTGTAGCTAGAAGACTAGGCTGTTTTATTTGGGAAATTCAAAACATTGTAACTCAACATGTTTACTCTCACAGTTTTAAGGAGCTCTCTGGTGATCTACTAGCACAGCCTCTAGTCAAATAGAAAAGCTTATATAGTAAGTACAGAAGAGAGATTGGTAAGGACGCCCATTCTTTCTCAAATGGGTTTTATAAATGGCAACTTTACAAATGGTCCATGTCTTTCTAGCTACCAGCTTAGAAACCAACCTCAAAGAGATCATCTCTAATGTCCTCAGAGAAATGGTGTTATAAGTCCAGTTAGCTTCAGCAGTGAGTCCCATATTCCAGCCAGTGGAAGGGGAAAAAAACACCAAGATGTTTATTAAGAGAGAGTCACAGTTCAGGTTTTTAGGTGTGATTTTTTTGTTGTTGTTAACTGTATTTTATTATTAACCTTGAGAAAAAGACAAATTAATTTCCATTCCTCACCCCTAAACCTATTTTGAAGTGCTGCTGTGCCTTGCTATCCTGGCATTCATAAGCTTACCAAGTATTTGCAGCCTGTAAAACACCCAAAACTGTTCCAATGAGTAACACAGGTGAGTGTCCTCAGGAACACAACTTTTGTTCCACAATTCAAACAGTCTATTAAATACATTATTTGAGCTTGATGTGATCTAACAGCCACCAATAAAATATAACTGAACCACACCTGATACTGTTATCTTTTAGAAAAATACATCCTACAGAAACATAAGTTGCAGAGAACAGTTTTACATCACAGCTGTTACCAGCTCCTTGAAAATACCCTTACATGAAATATCCAAGGTGATAGGAGAGCCCAGAACCAACTCCACATTTTCCCAAATGCTTCTTTATCCCTCATTTTGTAACAGACCCTTAATCTGGGAGATGTACCAAATCCCAGTCCAATTACTAGAACTTATATTCTCCAGCCTTACTTTACACTTCTTGCATTTCATTTCTCAAAAGCTGCCACCTAGCTCAGTGCATTTAACTACATTTCTCTGGCTTGTTTACCCATTACAACCCTCCCTGATAAAAATCGCAGCAGTGGTTTCCATCTCTACAACATCAGCTTTTCCTCCTTATCCTGTTTTTTCCCCTTCTTGTCCTCTTCCAGCACAGAGCAGCACCATCTTGAGACAAGGTCTAAGACAATGACTACCATCTGCTTGCAGTTGATATTGTCGCACTCAAGTTCTTTAAGAACCCAAGTCAACATCAGCATTTATTGTATCTGAAGTACACAGCTACACCTCACATTTCCCCCCAAAACTCCCTATATTGCCTACCAAGTTAACCTCACTGATGTTGCTCTCTGCTTCCCTCTTCTGCCCTGCTTCATCTTTCATTCCATAGGAACTTGCAGTCACCTCAGACTGATACAGAAAGCTTGTCATAAGGGCCAGACACCCTTATGCATATAAGAAGCCTTTCAATATCTCAAATAACATGAATCACTTCAGCAGGAAAGAAAAGATACTTTAAAAAACAAAGCTACAAAGCCAAAGGACAATATCAGTACTTGAGGAGCAGGAAGGTGAAGAGGTATTTCATTGTCTTCGTAATTGAAGCACAGCCCTTAGCCTGCTACCCAAAATCCTACCTAGTAAACAACCTAGTAAACAAAAATGGTTCAGCTGCATTCCTAAAGATAGTTTCACAGAGGTTCTAGGAGGAGCTCAGCACTCCTTTTGGGAAACACTAAGAAAAATTACCAAGAAAGTAATTAATTTTAGCTTTTCAGACAGTGACTTAGTCCCAGGCTTACAATCCCAATTGCATAAAGACATTTATCTCCCTAAGGCACCCAATATCCACAATCCAATTGGCATAATTTACCTTCCTCCTCAAATACCAAATGTATTTCCTGTAAAGCCCACAAAAACCACTCTGAAATGACACAGATGACATGTAAAAATGAGTTTTATTGATGCCCTTGGTGAAGGTTATATTTGCACTGAACATGCTCAGCAGTAAGGCTACCTGCTATGGCATTCATCGGTTGCACTAGAACTTGCAATTCCACAAGCAAGATGCCACTCATTCACTGCAAGTATCCACCGCATGCAAACCACAATGTATGTTATCCTTCGTTTAGGGTCACCTTGTTCTGTTCACAAGCATGAACTGCACGTGCTGGACTCCACAGCCACCTGACAGATGCTGTAGTCACAGGTACAGCAGCTTAGGGACAAGTTCTGCTACCACAGAGAAAACACATTGGCATCTAGTGGCCAAAGAGCACACTACAGACAATACGAACAGTGCAGATGCCTCTCATTTCATATTTATGCTGTACAGAGAGATGCAGCACAGACTGGAATGGGCAGATGCAGCAACAGCTCCTGCAGAAGAGATAGTCCCAGTGAAAAATCCAGCATAGGCTTGAATCCATCTGCAGAGCAGCTGATTGGTACAGGAACTGGAATGAGGTAGGAGAGCCAGAAACACTACAAATGTACCAGGACACAATTATCTCAAAGACATCAGTGAGCAGGAGAACAGCAGTATCACCTTCATTTGTAATAGGCAGGCAGAGACAAAAAGAGGTTCCAACAAGTTACTAGGGAGATCATCTTCATTTAGCCACAGCTTCAGTTTCCATCGGAGTGCTATGTCTCCACAAAAATTCTCCTCCCTCTCTGTCTCTTCCCTGACTCCCCAAAGAAGCTAGGAGAATCCCTACCTTCAAATACTGACAAAATAAGAGAAGCAGAATTACATTCAGATGTCACCACCCATCAGCTACAAGATCATATGTGCTACAGTCAGCTCTTCATAGGATTCCATACTAAGATTTGGATGGCTTTCCAGTCTATATCCAGAGATTCAAGATACGTGATGACCAAGATGGCTTATGAAATATCTAGAAAAAGCATCCACTTCTTCCCTCTGTGGCACCATCCCCAATCTCAGACTTCTTAACATCCCATCCTAGGTGGGACAATCTACCTTTCCACTTCTTCCAGTCCCTTTGAGGCAGAATGGCTAGGTGATCTCTCTGCTGCCCAGAATTATACAGCTCTCCACCCTAATGCTAAGTGATGGAGAAGGGCAGATGCCGGACCATCACACTAAAGGTGAAGTTTGTGGAAATTCAACTTTGTATCATCTACAAAGGGATAAAAAGCCAACTGAAAATATAAGGAAGAGGAGTTACAAAAGGCAATAAATGCCTAGAATTTCCTTGAAGACAGCAAAATGAAGGTGATACAAGCTTACATAGCTGACTCACTAATCCCAAGGGACCTGAACGCCTCTCCCATTTACCACTGTTCCAAATAATTCAGACTCAGCTAGGAATGAGATGGTTCCAGGTCAACCTTACTTCTCCCTGCTCCCCAGCACCCTAAGCACTGTCTCTCCTGCTCATGTTACTACAGGCAAGGGAGCAACCCTAAACAGATGGATGGGGTAAGAGGCTGAATCCAACAGCCAGGGACAGGAGAAACAGAAAAGTGCTCTTCCTCACTATCAGGATCCTCTAGGTTCGGACTTGGAACTTGCCAGCCTTTGTCATGTATTTTATCCCCTTGAAGGGCTTGTACTTCTCCCCATACATGTCCAAGCGATTCACCTTCAGTCCTAAAGGCAAACAAACACAGCATAAGACTAACTGCTGCCACAAAAAAAGCAGACAGTCCTTCAGGATAAAGGAACAGAAGCTCATACTAGAGGTGCAGAAAGCATAGGGAAAGTTTTAGCAAGCAGTAAACAGAACAGAGAAAAGCTCTGACTGCTCATTGTCAGAATCATTCTTTACAAACACATCCATACCCTAAAATTCTTTATACGTCTGTTAGCACAAAATGCAAGGAAATGTAGATAGGCTGTTTCACAGAGCATCGAGAGAACAAGTCTGTGTATCTGTAGTCAAAGCACACAATTGTTTTACTTGAAGAACACGTTTCAGATAGAATGTACTTCAGAAGGTCTGCAGAGCTATTTCAGCTATGTGAAGAGTGAGCACTGACAGAGAATATTCAGCTGCTTTACCTGACAGTCACTTACCAGATATAGCCAGCTGCTGAATTTTAAACTGCAGGTTAATGGTGGGGTTTTCATCTGGTTTTGATGCCCCAGCTTGCAGGCTCACGCTCCCCTTCAGGCTTGGCAGCTTCTGGGGGTTTATTTTCCCCACATCCCATGACAATAACTTCAAGGAACAGAAAATGCAGCATTGAAACAGAAATGCTGTAACACCGTCTAAAGAAGAGTCCCCTTCCAATGACAGCTTTTAATGTTTCTTTATGGAAAACATCTTTGTCTTAGTATCTTGCCTTTCATATTGGACACAGTACAGGCTTAAGGAGCAGCTGCCTCGGACCATTGTTCTCCCTCTCTCTTTCCAGGGGGACACAAAAAAAACCCCAAACCAAAAAAACAAAAAGCCTACCATGAATGATATTTCCACTGCTTGTGCTACAGGCCCCACTTCTTATGTTTAACAGTGACAAAAACAATGCAGAATTGCCTCCTTTCCAAGTGGCTGAAGCACTGTTGCTTGAGGCTCTACTGTGGGTAAACCACCAAATTTAAGTTTGCAAGAAGAAAAAAAAAGTGAACTCTGGCAGAGGATCAAACAACAAAACCAGAACACCCCAAAACAAATCAAAACCCACTAACCAACCCAAATCCTCAGTGTTTGCAAAGGACCAAGTCTAACTTGCAGCGCTAGGCATGACAACTAGATAAGCAGAAGTTTGTAAAGCATTCACCAGACTAATGCCTCGTCATACAATACCAGTTCTTGGATTTTCTGCAAACACCAAGCAACCGGAACTACAATCCACCCAGACACTGAGCTATTTGTTGTGGGGATTAAGACAACTTCTAGTATACAATTGTCCAGAAAAAGTTCTTAGCCCAAGAAAAGATACTGCCTTCAGAAAAGCAGTGTTCAAGGAAATGCTCATGTAAGCATAAACAGGTCAACTTCATTTGCTGAAAGGTAAAAAAGATTAAAAAAAAAAAAATCTAATTTCTCTCTTTCCTCTCACCTTTGTAACTGGATCGAAGATATGTGTTCCCTGAGAGGGCGTGAGGGTCATATTTAAGACACCTTTTGGCATCTGGCTAGTGACCATCACTCCCTCTACAGTCTTCCCCATAGTCTGCTTTGGCCCCACTGTGATCTCGAAACGTCCCAGTGAGCTGCTATCACGGAAACTGATGTTGTGTTTAACATAGACAGGAATTGCCACAAGGCTAGAATAAAGACATGAACAGAAAGTCCTTGGTTAATCTCCTGCCTTCATCTTTGCTTTTCCTGATTCAGTCCTTGCCTTCTACACTGAAAACACTGGAAACCAAATTTCCTTAAAAGGGAAGGAAATCCTATGCTCATTTGTTTGATCTAAGAGCAAACTCAGAATCCTGTTCTCAAGTCTTAATTACACTTTTTTTAATCAAGCTTACCATTTCATAGTTTTCGACCTCTCTACAGAACAGGTAACTACATCCAGTACAACAGGAGACTTGAGCAAAGGATGAGGAATGTTTCTGCATGTCGCAAGCAAGCTGGTAAGTAGTTCCAGGCAGTGCAGCAGTACTTGAACTTCATGTTTGTGCTTTTGGTTGGATTTCCCCACTCATTTTCACCTACTTGAGATAAGTCTGACAAAGTCTAAGAAAACGCTCTAGCATCTGTAACCCCAATTACTACTTGGTAAGCTGCTTCTAGAAAAGAGTGCAAACAGTAGATGAGAACTTGTAGTTCTATTAAAAGGCATGTCAAAAAACCAAGATTACCAAACTATCTTGTTTTATTCTAAAAGTTTTTTTATAAACTTAAGAATCAACAGCTTGATTACTCCATTACTGCCTAATTCTCTCCCTCTCTAGCCTGTTCATCTGCTACCAGTCTTTGAAAAATGCTGGCTGACCAAAAAGAAATGACAGAATCACTGCTCCAAACAAGGAGAAAACGTGTTTTAAAAAAGGAAAAGTGCAAGTTACCATGCACCTCTACTTTATTTGGCACCACATGCCACCTGATCTTTAAAAGCAATTCCTCTTCCCCACCCCTCCCCCTTCCCCCAGCCAGGAAGATCCAAATTTCTTAATTCACAGCACTACATTCATCACCTACTTCTGAGCACTGACATGGTAGGAGAGCAAGCGAAAATTTCCATCAGGTGGAATGAAGGAGAGTATTCTCTCTGACTCCCAGCGTTTAAAACGCACACATGGATGAAAGCTGACATCATCCAATAACCGAGGGTTCTGAAATAAAAGAAAGCCACAAGGTTAGTGAAGGCAGTACTACTTAAAATAACCTCTTCTTCTTCTCAGTCTTCTATCCATGAAGGGCCTACCATTCGACATGCTCTGTCCATTTGAAGGTATCTACATTCAGACATGTTAAGCTATTTGATGCTGTACATCTGTGCGATAGCAGTACTCAGGAACCTCTATCCTATTTCAGAAAATTTAGTCATGTCAAACAATTACATTGATACATACTCATAAAAAAGATGGCCCTTCAGGATATCTGCCTAAAGCACCACTGTATCTCAGAAACTTAGTCACAGCACAGACTAACAACACTTTTAAAGAATCTGAATATAAAACCTTTAGGCTCAAAGTTGCTGACGTTCACTATGAGTTTCCATTGTCAGTTCTTTCTCTTTTTGTTTGGCATATCCAAGTTCTGATCTACCGGAATCCATCAGCGTGAGACTGAGATCCTAGTAGCAGGGCTGGGAAACCCTTTTCAAAATACTTAAGTAAAGATATGTCCTTGAGCTTTGCTTTACCATAAAGGAGAGGGTAAGGTCTGGCATCCCAGTCAGCTTGACACAAGCATCAATCACCCCCTGGATTTCAGCAGTAATCGTGGAACCTGCAACAATACAGTAAATATGGGAGGTTACGTGAACCTGATCAAAATAATCCCAATGTGTGTGGAAAAACTAGCAATGGGGAGGAAGGAAATTTATTATCTTTTTGAAATGTCATGGCTCATTATGTTGCCCACTCAATGTTTTTCTCATTCCCAATGACTTCTAGAGAAGATGTCAGTGGTTCTCATTTGTACACACCAGCAATGTCCATTTTAATGGCCAATGACAATAGCTGCCAACTCCAACAAAACTAAGGTGCATGAAACTAAGGAGACAGTGCTATGCGCAATTTTCACTCACCTTCTATTTTCCCAATACAGAATTGCTTACAGGACCTCAGGAACAAGGATAAGTGAAAACCTTGGTACCTCTCTAAAGTTTTTGACTGAATAGCACCTACAAGTTGGCAGCAGTCCAGAGTAACAATAGGAATAGAGCTTCCCACACTTAGATGAGGGAACCCTTCTTTGAGAACCTAAATCTCTCTTCAGGCACTATCAGGACAAGTTACCGTCATCTTAGCCAGAAGCAACTTCCATACCCGATTTGTCAATGATTGCATCTATCTCCTCAATCACGTCAAAATACGCCTCATTGTTGGTATATTTTACACCAGTACGTCTCCAAGGCACCACTGATAGCTGTCCAGTAGGAAGCTGGTCACCCACATTAGTGCTTCCTGGAAAAACAAAGGCAATCACAACAACCGCAAAAGTTAGACAGTGCCCCAGAACAAGTCCTTGGCCTGATATAACTTAATTGTAATTAATCCCCTCTTAGAGAAAGAGAACCTCTATCTCTTTGTAGGAGAGGAATTACTCTTCCAGACTCACTGTATTCTACTATTTACATCTCTCTTACATCCAACTCTAAAACATACCACAATAAGGCATGGGGAAGTATAACTAAAAAACAAAAGAAAAATCCACCCCAACAAAAAACCCACACCAAACTAACTCATCCAGGAAGTCATGTCATGGCTGTAACTAGAAATGTAATCTGTCCATTTCAGTTAAAAAAAAAAGAAAAAAAAAAAGTGCAGCTGGTGCTGAAACTGGAAGGAACCTCAAAGCAAAGGACCAACACAGGACTCCCCCTAAATACACCTATGCTGAGGTTTAGAATGGTATGGGACAACTTAAATTTTCTTCAGCTATATCCTAATTTACTTATGCAGGAATATTGCCACATGGCCTCCCCAGTTTATCTTTTTGTTGCCCTGTACCTGTGATGGTGTTGACAACTGTTCGCAGGATAGTGGGAGGTTTTATCAGTTCCTTAAGAATATTGGACTCTGTTGCCAATGGAAACCCATTGTCCAGCATCTCCTCTAGCACCTCATAAACCACCACAACATTGTCCTTGATCATCAGCTCTGAACAGACACCAAAATAATCCTGTGCAAAAGAAATAATTACTTAACAATCTCTGAAGAAGTCTTAGTGATCATTCAGTTCAGTGTTGTCCCACACAGAAATAAATCAAGCCTCTTCTTGGAGGAGGTGAAACAACACTGAACCTCCATGTATTAGTACAAGCACATCAGACAGACTGACCAGTCCAACAGACATGCACAACTCTAAGCATACCGCTGCCACTGCCCCAGCAAGCTGGCAAATCACCACACCATCATATGCTTTTATTTCTTTTCTATATAACAAGATTCCCTTTGATAGCTATGAGATTTGTTTTAATTAGCACTTGAAAGTGGCTCAATAGCAACCGATTAAGCAGCAATATTAATAAGCAAAACTTAGTTCCCGCAGCCACTACTGACTTGTGTGCAGTGATGCCTTTCATTAGACTCCAGTATTATATATACTTCCTCAGCTGCCCTAGTCTTTACCTACAGTACTCTCAATATCTTAACCATGCAGCACTGCTGTTTGAGGAATTCAACCACTCCGCATCAAAGCTCTTCATGTACTTTTGTTATAATGCTCGCATAGAGATAGGCAATAGTACAATTATTAACTTCAATTCTGTAAGTATTTTTTTAGAATTTATTTTTATGTGAAATATAGGGGAAGCACAGCTTAAAACCCTCTGCATATTTACCTAAGTCCATGTTTGTTTTACAGGAGAACATTTCTGAAGTCCATTAACATGCTACCCATGTTTTTTCATTCTGATACAGCTTGGGGTGTACAGACTGCTTACACATACTAAGATGTATTAGACTAACAGCAGAAGTCCCATATTCTGAGAAGGCTGAAAAATAATTCTATCCATGTAACAAAACCCTCCTTCCTCATAATTTAAGAGGTGTATAAAGCAGAACCTCAGAACGTGAATCATAAAAGATCCACAGACCAGTTTATTCCCCAGCTTGATTCCTCTACTGTTTCTTCAGCTCCTACTCCAAAACAATAATTAGCAATATTAAGGTTTGCAGTAAAAATATACCGAGTCAAACTGTAAATCTGTAACACAATGTAGGTATATAAAACTAAGTGGACATCTTTCAAGATTCAGCATATGTTATGGGAAGCAGTCCCAATAATTCAGCAATTTTTAAAACTGAACATTTAATTTATTCATAGTTTTACTCTATGGGGACTTCATGCATCTTTCTGGAGAGCGAGCGAGTGCACGCAAACACAAACCTGAGCTTCCAGTTACTTACAGCAATTAAAGAGACCAGGCATCCTGTGCAAAGCAGTAAACTGTGACACTAGAGAACCCCTAGTCCTGCACTACACTGTTTCTTTTTCAGACATACCAAATTTTAACATACGGCCAAGCCAGTGAAGACACACTCACACCTCATCCCCTCACAAAAAACAAGACCTCAGTGACTGACATAGTACATTTTTGGCCTGAACAGCCAATCCACTCCCTGAATGCAGTGAAACATAACTCAGCTTACACTCACATTCTGACTGGCATCTGGAAGCAAAAGCTCACATGATACTCATTTGACCAAGCACCCACATTTCCTCTATTCTGGTAGGATGCTGGTCACAAGACATTTCAAATCCAGACTACACAATCCTGTTGCTGGGAGGCAAAAGACGGACATCTTCGCTATTTCCCTAAACTGACTGGCAGTCATGTCAGCTGTAGCACAGAGGGAATATGGCTGCTCTGGGGCAACTCCTTTGACTCGCTTCTTTACGAAGCAAATACACTTCCAAGAAATATCACTAGATGTAAGTGCATGGGTAGGTTGCCACTAACTGACTAAAGCGCACAGCTATGAATCACAAGAACTCCTCGTGAGAACAAGGCCAGCTTAGTCTTAGTTCACAGCTCCTAGAAGAGGCAAGGCTGCGAAACAGAAATATAAATCTTGATTGCTGGAAGGTCCTTCGCTGCGAGCACAGGCGGACCTTGAATCCATTGTCATCCTCGGCGGTGCCTTCCTAACCGCCACAAGCCCTCGAGACCCACTTTAGATACTCGCAGGTGCAGGATGAGAATTGAGAGATAGGAAAAAGAGAAAACTAACTGCCGCTAACCTGAGGGTCTCCCTTTTCTCCGCCCCCGCCCCGTTCTCCTCTACCACACGGCAGTGACCTGGGGCTCTTCCTCTTCTAACCCCCTCGGCACACATCAACAACTAACCCCTCGGCTAAAGCAGAAGCAGAGAGCCGCTCCGCGCAGCCCTCGCCCCGCCGGCGCTCCCCCTGCTCGGCCGCCCGAGCCGTACCTGGAACGTATCAACGACGCGGTGCAGGAACTCGATGACGAAGAGAGGCGGCACCTCGCTCTGGATGACGGCGACGAAGAAAATCTTGTGGCGGTAGACGCTGAGGAGGTAGTGGTGCGGCGTGGGGATCACCGGCGGCACGTTCTCCGCCTCCGAGGCCCTCTCCTGCGCCTCGAAGAAGTAGTCACAGACGGAGCGGCTGACGACGCTCTTCCAGTGCTTCTCCAGGAAGATGTCCCCCGAGGCGTTGATGAGGAACAGGCTGTGGATCATGACTGCGGCGGGGCTGGGCCGCACGACAGGGCCGTCGCGCAGCGGGAGCGGGAGCCGGAGCGAGGCCTCCCCTCCGCGCTCGCGCTGCCTCACAGCGCCCGCCCCCTCGCGCCGGCCTCCTTGCTCGGCCACAAGCCCCACCCCCCCGGCGCGCGGATTGGCACCGCCAAAAACCCTCCCCACCCCGGGCCCTCTCTGGGCGGGGGGGGGGGGGGGGGGGGGGGGCCAGACTCGTGCTGGG